AACGGTGATACAAAGCGTATTTAAATCATGCGCAAAGCAGTTTACGGGTGACCTGAATTTGCCTAAAGGCAGCCAGTTGTCACGTTGACGATATTGGCAATTTCAGGTTAACAGCTTTATTCTACTCTGCACCTAATGGAAAAGAGCATAAAATGCTTTCTGTCTGAGAAATTACTTGAAAGTTACTTTAACGACGAGAACCGGTTTACTGTGGTCTGAACGCAGGTAACCGATCTTTGCATCCTATTCTATAGCTATCCGAAACTTCCTTGAGAAACTCACAGCTACAAAACACTCCAATGACAGCAAAAAATACGAACATTGGTCTACAGACCTATGTGTTTCTAGTCAACAGTAATGACATTAAGAACTCAAAAATCACCTCAACAGTGTCGTTTAGGCAGCCTTACAGTCTAGATAATTTTCCAGTACAAAACAAGCACTGTAGAACAACATTAGCGCCAACCAAAATTCACCTGTAAGAAGTAGCAGAGAATCAAGTAGACTGTTCCCAACAAGGTGGGATCAAAACTCTGTCCACAAGAAACGCACAACAACAATTCCCGTGGACAGTCTAAGGTCAGAATGATTTTGATTCACTAAAAAAAATCAAATGGTGAAATAACAAATTATCAATATATTACACAACCACAAAGAGAAACATTACAATTAGACATCAAATGGGGACTGAGACAAGTGATGAAGATGAAGTCAACACATGATATTGCAAATGTCGGAACGATTATATACACTCTAGGAGAAAACCGGGTAATTACTAAGTTACTTAAAACACCCATATAAGTATAAATAGTGTAATTAGATCGTCCAGGAGGGATTTTTCAAACAGTTATTCAGTTATTAAAAAGACAATTGCAGCGAAGAAAATTTTCTTTTCGACGAAGTCATCATTTAGGCTGTACATTCGTGTATTTATATCAAATGGATGGGAAAGTTCCAGAATAATTTCCAGTCAAGGGGCAAATTAATAAAAATTACAATTAGGAATTAGAATGCCATAATAAACAGGGGGGCGGATAAAACTCGAACAAAGTAGCATTATAATAACTAAGAAGATTGACATCGTGCAGTTGGGGGTTAGAAATGTAGAAATAACAAAACGGACAGGATGTTTGGATAAAAAACTAATATGATGAATAATTAGTATTTAATTGGTGGATGGTGACTAGCAGTGAAATCGACGGGAAAATCCAAAATTCAGTTAAATGATGAATAAGTGTTTATGCAATCAGGGATTCAATATGTAGGAATAGTAAAATGACAAAATAAACAGGGAGTGTGGATATGAAAATTTGGTAGTGTAGACAGGGATTAAGAAAAACTTAAAATAACATGAATAAACAGGAATTTTAGATAAGAAAGGCGATGAGATCGTCATTACTAGAAAAATATACCTGTTTATGATGGCCATGGCAGGGACAAGGGTTGGACGTATTTCTTTTGGATACAAAGCGTGGGTTTGAGCTTTTGGATAGCTAGCGCCTCAGCTATACCCAGATGTCTTGATTTGACTCCCTTTGATAGGTTTGACTGAATCTTATATATTACTTTGAAGGATTTTTCGAAAGGCGCTGAATGTCCTGAGTTGTCCCGATGGCCTGTCACTGAACTGTATACACGTTTTTGGTCTCCTTTTACTAGCCAGGCTAGGTAGTGTTCGCAAGCGCATTTTCCAAGTCGGCACATGGTACGGCCGATATACTCAGCTCCACAAGAGCAAGCACGTTGAGGTGGCCCAATGCGACAGCTTGTCTTTCACGTTCTGGCTGAACACTTTCTTGCTTGAAAAAGTTCCAGTTATCACTGTTTCTGTTATGTGAGAGAGTTACTTTTTATCGGAAGGCTTTTATTTTAAGATGCATTCATCACTTCGTTCCTTCAGCACCAACTTTCGGTGTACTGAGACAAATAATTTTAATTTTTAGTTGACTTTTTCAATCTTTCTTGATATGCACAGCTAGTCTATTCCTGTTAGCGTTTAGCATACCATTAGGCATTTTAGAAAGGTGTGCTTTTGTAGAAGAAAAGTTGACTTCAGTTTCCCATAAATTTCAAAGATATTGTTTTTGAAGGTTGGAAATTTTCCTGCTATATATTTGAGAGTGACTGTTGATATGTCCTGGTATTCACTTACAAGGTAAAACGAATCAGCACATTCGAAGACTTTTTCAATGACAGAACCGTTGTTTAATAGACTTACTTGTTTTCACTGTGAAAAATTTATAAAGAAACACATGATAATCATCACTAATCAACGGCTTCTGAAAGGCCTTGTCTACCTACCTATCCTCGTTAGTTTATATCGGCAGATTAGTAATTTTTAAAGTTCGAATCACTGCCAAGCAGATTTCAAAATACCCGCAAACATGCATAATTCCCTTCACTCTCTTAATTCACAAAAGAGAGAAGTCAAGGGAGATTTCAATTCTAAATAGTTTGTTCAACTAAATTTTTGGAACTTTTGAAAATTTAGCCGAAATTCCGCTTAGACCACTATATGAAGAGGAGCTTCTTTCACTTATACCTTTGTCATACACACACATAAAATTATGTCCAAATTCACCTCTGAAGTAAATATTTCCATCGTGGACAATATTGTATTTAGGTGTTATGCATAATTGTTATGTTGTCGGTGCATTCATATACTCACAGAATGGACAAGTAACAAACAGTTGTACATGCTGACACTAAAGCAATGCACTGGCTGCTCACCTCGTAACCTAACAGCTCTAGTTTAGATCTTTGTAGCAATCATGAAGGGACTGTGCTAAAGGATTTCAAACTAAAAAGAAGAAATCACCCGGTGCTGCCTTACTTCAGAGATTTTCTAACCCAGTTTTGGTTTGACGAAAGATGGGCTATAAGTCAAAAGAGCCCCACTAATTGTATTTGAGTAGCATTTTGAGAAAAAGATGTTGTTTAGTACCAAGTAAATGCTTTATGATAGGATAACGCCACTGGATTCAAGTATTTTGAATAGGCATACTTTAACCTTCCTTAAAGCCACATATTTAAACTTTACTGTATCATTCGCTTGAAACTGAAAGTATTTAAGAATGACATTTTGAGGACTTGACAGTTCTATATACTTTTAAATCTGGTGAGCCACCGGCATTACATAAAACCCTGAATCTTCTCATTACTTCGTTATGAATGTATTCAAAATTCGTGCTAAATCTCTCCTCAGCTTATCAGTAAACGCTGCAGTTTTTTCTTTATCTATATCACCACTTCTAAAGGTACTTTGAAAATAAACAGCTCCTCTACGTAAAACAACAAAAATTCACCATGTTTCACTGCATGTTATTTATGTATTGTATCCTCCTAATGTACACATCTTATTTTTATAAATCCAAAACTTTCTACATCATTAAGAGTTATTTCAGTTATATAGTATAATAAACTTCCCAAGAAAAATACGTAACATTCAGTTTAAAAATTGTCAAAGACTAAGCAGAAAATAGTTAATTAGGCATACTGTGAATGGTATTTTGTTATAATACAGTAAAGTAGAGAAATCTAAAAAACTTATGTACAGTTTATGTAACAAACTCTCCTACCAGTCAAACAAATTGTTGTCGTGAGACAATTTACCTAGTCTCCTACTGAATGCTCTCTTACAATGAACTAGGTAGTACTCTGTAAAGACTGCTCAGTCTAAAAACTATCCTCCAACTTATAATATTATGTATCGTTACAAGAAACAAGTACTGAGGCTTATATTGTTTTATAATCCTGACAATCAGTTGATTAAAGCAATGCAAAATATAGAAGTCCAACATGAAGACAAACAGTACTCCTACTAAGTCTAAGTTTTACCACTGCAAGCTCCTACGCACAATTCCTATGATTCATCAAATACCTCGTAGTCTAAAAACACGTTCACATGCATAATGTGAGCTGCATAATTTGAACAGATTTTCAATGGACTGTCTGTCTGCCACATGTGTGAACTATTCAAACTTCGTCTGATGAATATTAATTGTTTTGTTTGAATGGAGTATACTGAATAAAATTATCAAATGACGAGCCTACTTTGAATAATAAGTACATGTAATTGTATCCCACATAATTAAACTGATGGAATGACACTTTTCATGCACAAACAGCTATTTTACATCAGCTTTCTTCTGGGAAAGAACAAGTAAAACTGCCTGAGATATACCTTCAAAATAATGTCAATTATAGTGAATTAGAGTGATCACACAGAAGTGCTAAGTTTCTTGATTGAAAATGTCAACAATATTGGCATTTATGTGGTTAAAAAGTCTTGATTTTATTGAATTATCTGGCGTATGTTGTGTCCCAGTTTGTAAACAGCTCGAATTTTGTTGGGCAACAACTTTGACATCACTTTTTTTTATCATCTTCACACATGCATTTGGAGTCATTTCAAAAGCATCTGCTTCTAAATGAACCTACTAGTCGGAGGTTTTGTGGCAGTTATTTTCCACATCAATATTTTGTTTCATTGCGTTTATTTTTTTGAAAATTTAGCATTGCTACTTACTACCTGTCATCAATAATTCAATCTATTTTTTTTCTTTCGCGTTCCCCAGTGGAACATAGGGCTTCAAGCTAGTGGCTTGAAGTTTCTGTAGCAATGTTTATTTTACAGGATGGGGTTGCTAGCCTCATGCCCAACCTTTCCTCTTCACCAGCATTATTTCTGGTTCAGTGAGGTAAAGGAGTGCGTTGGTTGGGGATCGAACCCCGGACCATGTACATGGTCGGCCAGCGTCCTAACCGCTATACCACTGACGCACCCTATAGTGAATGATAAATATTCTCTTGTCACGTAGAAATTCCATAAGTTGGTAAATGAAGCATCACATTAGTAATCCTGTGAATCACGACTGAAATTACGCCGCAAGATACATCTGTTCACACAAATAATATTTAACACAGGAAAAGTGGAATAAGACTCAGTCAACAACAATTATAAACACTTTAATATTAGAAAAACGAAATTCACTTCAATTGTCATTTCAAGCAAATACATGATAGTAAATATCTAGTGGTCACGGGGTATGTCTTTGTATGATTAGCTTACAATGAATGTTATGTTTAAAATTCTGATAAAATAATCACATAATTAAAGTCAATGTTATATCTGAAATATTGTTGCCTGTGGAAATAAAACATCACAGCACATCAATAGAATGCCAATAAGTTATTTTCTTTGTTGAAGTGAATAAATTATCATTTTTTAGTCGTTTCAACTCTTTAACCAAATCACCCCATTGAAGTAGAGCCATTTCGTAGGTTACTTTGGTTTCACCGACTGAAATATTTGCCAAACGTCTAGATTGATTTGATAACTCTGGTCGAACAAATATTTGGAAAAGGACTCCAATATTATTATAGCTTAATAATCGATTCATATCCACATTCAATGATATATGCTCAGTATAAGGGATTGTTACGTCGAAAAAACCGTATGCTTCATCTTTATCCTTGACAGCTTTATCATTCTTCAGTTTATTTATTTTGAACGGTTTCCCTTTGACAACAGACAGGGTTGTATTTCCCAGGCAGAATAATGCTTGGAAGATCATTTCAGCTACAAATCAAATGGCAAAGTTAACAGGGAATAATGAACTGCAGACTATGATTAAAGTTTCGTAATAAAATTCTAGCTACTGATTATTTATTGAGTAGCTTATCTCGCTCATCAAAATTACCGCAAAACATTCGGAATGGGCAGTTTATACGTGCAGTAATTATTCTGTGGTGGAGTCAGTGGCAAAATTTTTCTCATATGCTGACTTCATAAGAATAGTATTACAGGACAAGACCAACAGGTGTTACTGTGTTCTTTAGACGTATATAATCCAATTAGTATGGGTCAGGATAACGGAAAGCTTATTGATCATTTCGTCCTAACATGAACTGTTATTTTTATTATATAATGAATTGAGTTCAATAAATGTGTGAAATAGAGAATAAATGGATAGTCTTTAAAACTTTTATTGATATCTCAACACACAGGGTTTGTCGTTAACATGACTTCTTCGATAAATCATAAAACCAATATTAGAGATATTGAAACCTAGATCAAATTATAAATTTCATAAAGCAAAAACAACAGTTTTTGCAGAATAAAATGGTACCATCATCTATTTCTTTGGCTTCTCATCAGCTACGTCAGCATATCTACCATTTTCTGAACACGTACCAAAAGGGCTTATGGCTAAAGGGGACAAATGCTTTCAACAATGTCATCGCCAGGCATCTCCTTGACATGGGTCATGAAGTGGACGTCACAAGATCATCAATTGGCAAAAGAGTTCAGTTCTCCTCAAGTTTGCTGAAGCCATCTCCATCAAGTGTCTGAAACCTGATTTATGCGTTCAGAAAGAAGCAGTTATCAGTCTTTCTTTGTCCTGGTAACTGGATATTTTCACCTCTCTTTCATCTAATTATGTAAAATCTCAAGTTTCCATTGTGCATGATGGTTACTGTTCGGAATGAACTCAGTGTAAGTATGTTAAAATCGTTTCTGTATATATATTCAATAGCTGATGTAGCTGATGAGAAGTCAAAGAAATAAATGATGGTACCATTTCATTCTGCAAAAGCTGTTGTTCTTGCTTTATTCATATTCATTAAGGGGAATAAATGTATCAAATTATAATCATAGACTGAAGAAATATGTCGTTTTCAAGGTGAATTATCGTGGTGATCTGATGCTGATCTTTGGATGTCACTTTTGCCAACGTTCACTTCTACCGAATACAAGGACGACCTCTTCTATCTTGTCTGATATTAATAGTCTTGTCATGATTTTTATTAGGTAAATAGTTAAAGCCTGTTTTTTATAGCAATCGGACAGGGACATGCTTTCGAACTGACCAGAAAATTCACCATGATGGTTTCGGAGAACAGGTTGTAGGTCTTTTCCACTTAGTCTACTGTATTTTATTGATGTGAATGGGACTGTTTTTACTGGAAATCATGGAAAATTTAAACTTACTCTCATTATTGTGTATCTTCAAATCTTTGAACTCTTCCACAGAAATTTCAAGGATAGATAATTCTCTTTTATACAGGATAGATACTTTTGCCATTGACTTTCGTATGGTTCCGCTTTGAGGAACACTTGAAATGATATTCGACTAGAAAAAGAATCAATATTAGAAAGAGGGAGTAAATAGTTGTTTATTTTTTTCGGTATTTTGATTAGCTAATCTACGCATTTTGAGTGAAACAACGCTGCTATGCATTATTCTAATTGAAATTACCGGATACCATTTTAGCAGATTGGTATAATTATTGTCTAAGCCTAAATAGTGAGAAGATTTCCTTACGTGTACTATTAAGATGTAAGTTATTTCAAGGAGATGGTATCACCTAAAAATAAATTTTGTTCAGAATTCAGTTTTTGTAATTATCTGAAAGACAGATATTCACTAATTGAGTGGAGTAATGAAATAGTTGAACTAAAAAGCATACAATAATGCTTCATAGCATGTAATGCCAGTAAAATTGTACCATAACGTAAAAGCAGAATGTGAGCACTGCGATAAAGTGTGTCATATCACCATGGTGTGATTATGAATAATAAATCCTGGTTAAAATTCCACTTACTTTATATTACTGTGTCGTTATGGGTTACATCAAATCAAATTGATCTTATCTTTTCGCTTGTGAGAGAAAGAGAGACAGAGAGTTTATTCCCGATGAGAAATCAGATTATTCCAAATCACTGAACTGATAGTTGATGTTTTCAAGCAGTATTACTTAAGAGTTAAATTTTCAAGCTGCTCAAATTTTGCTATCTAAGAATATATGATAATTCCATAACTTTCCACATTTCAAGTTCTGATAATAAGAGATGATGTTGTACACAATGAACACTTGTTCACACGTACAAACAACTTCGAGGATTTTTGTCTGACACTTACAAATAAGTGTGATATTCAGATTATGGAATTTCAGTTGGTAAATTTCATCACGAACCAGCGTCAGTTAGAGAGATTATTTGAAACCAGATGAGCACTGGGAATCACTGGAACACACCTTTGACCCAACCAGGATTCTAGTCTAAAGCTAGAATTCACAGGTCACTGAATTCCAGCTCAAGTGGTGGTGAACTGGCTTGGTCTGGTAACCTGAAGATCCCGGCTTCGATACCCGGATGTGCCCTGTTGATGAAGAGTCCCAAAATAGGACAAACACAGCTATCCAGTGCTCTGTGGTTTTCAGTGATCTCTCTAACTGATATAAGAATAAAACTTGTGCACTATGGTAGAGTGTAATTCCATTATGGGTAAATTTTGTTTTGATAAAGTCTCACAGTGTTATACAGTAATATTTACTGATGACGTTTCGAGCACAATTTATTGCTCATAATCATATCAAGGTAATCACACGACTTCCTAAATTCATTTATATAGTTCCATTGTTTTTCACTTGATTTTCACTTGATTTGATTGGTAGTATTATTTTCCATATTATATATTTATATATTCTCTTTAATTTATATTATTATTACTAGTTTTACAGTTCTTTTTATTAAGAGAGAATATAAGTCATCCACAGTTATACCATATAAAGAGGGGACATCTGAGACCCTACGTAGGATTCTAAATAAAGCAGGAATTAGGGTGGCATTTAAACCTACAAACTCACTCAGGGACAAGCTCTGTAGGTTAAAGGACCCAGTTGACCCAATTAGACAAAATAATATAATTTACAAAATACCTTGCAATGACTGTGAGATCAACTACATAGGTCAAACTAGTAGGTCAAGGGTAGTCAGATTGTCGGAACATAAGAATTTAGCTAAGGTAAGAATGGTTGACCCAGAGAAGATAGGTAATTTAGAAAAAAGCTCAGTAATTGCAATGCATGCATTAACACACAACCACACAATAGGGTGGGAGAGGGTTAAAATCCCAAAAAGTAATCTAGGTAGGTGGAGAGAGAAGTCGATTACTGAATCCTTGTTCATCGAATCTACACCCAACACGTGCAATAGAAATGATTCATCACTCATACCCGAAATATGGAAAATATTACTACCAATCAAACCAAGTGAAAATCAAGAGAAAAACAACGGAATTATATAAATGAATTTAGGAAGTCGTGTGATTACCTTGATATGATTATGAGCAATAAATTGTGCTCGAACGTCATCAGTAAATATTACTGTATAACACTGTGAGTCTCTAACTGATGTTGATTAGTGAAGGAATCTAATCAATTGGATAAGTGTGCGGCAAAAACCGATGACTAAATAAACCACTCAAACAACCGTGTGCCAAGAACAATTGTGAGAATCGTATATCACGTAGAAAAAAAGTTTTGTAAGTACTTATACAATTTGCACAAACACACTTCCTTAGGAAACAGAAGAACAGACGAATCTAAGACTGAAAACTGGAAACCTTGTTCAGAGAAACCAGAAATCAAACATAAAGAAAGTAATACTTAAATTTTCACATCATGAAACTAATTCCCACATATTTCGAAATATTTAATTGTTTCTTTCTTTTTCAGAATTCATTCTTTATTGCTGACAAATCATAGTAGCTGTCCAATTCAGTAGATAGTTAATGACTTAATCAAATGAGACTCGACAAAAGTTTATATATATATATATACATGTAAATGAACATAATATTTTCCGAATCATTATATATGAATTTCTCACTGGAACTGAATTAGACTCTACAGGGTAGTTTTAGTTTATTACCACTTGTTAGATCTGAAATACAGTTGATACAGCCTAACTTCACTGTCAGACGTAAAAACAAGGTATGTTGAATAGCTTTAGACACACTGTTTCGTCTCTGCTATGCATGCTTCCTTCCCTTCATGAAAAAGGTTTGAATTCCAGTAATGTAACCAATAAAAGAGAAGAATTATAAGGCTGCCTTCACTCTATATTTTAGGCCAGATAGACCGAAAGGATAAGTAGTGAGGAACTGTGACACATTAAAAGCAAAGAATCTAGGACAGAATGAAATGTAGATGGATTGTGTATATACTGAGGAGGCCGTTCACTGGCACCATCAGTCCGGCCCTCAAATGAAACCTGAATGGTTAGCAACTTTCTGGGCCACGGGAGTGATATGAAGGCGATCACATGAAGACGAAATCAAATCTCTTGTGTGGTTGTGAAGTCACTGGATAGTGATAACAAACAATGGAATGCGATCAAGATGTGCTGCTAATGTCTTATGTTCCACTGAGTATGTATGGAAAGAGTGATAACCAGAAATAAGGCTCCATCTCTTGACGGCTTTTGTACTGTAAGGTTAACTTGTTTTGATCAAAACCGTGTAGGGAATTTGTTGTTTAAGAACAAACTCTCCTGTGCGGATTTAGTGCACAAATGAGTTTTAGTAATACTTTTTAGGTTAACATATGTGACTAGCGTTTCTGTGATAGTCATATTTACACAAGAACAAATTACCCTAGTGACACCCACATCACTAAGTTGAAAAGACATGCTTGTCTTATGTTTATTTTGACCAACGTATCTGTGAGGTGTCAAGCCCACGATAAATTGAACATTAATTAGGGAACATCACCTAGATGAAACGCAAAATATGCTTCACCATACTATGAGTAGTTGTCTCAATTAAGTGTTGTTTATATGCGATAAAAAAATTATCTCACATTCAGTGCGAACGTCTCCAGTTTTATTTATCTTACTACAGACCTCATCTGTTGATGATAACTCGGTATTCGACTGGCTTAAATGTGATTTACTTCCTTTTGCCGTCTAATGGTTGTCATTTTATAAACCAAGTAATCTAAGAATGAGACGTAGACGCCCGAAGTTGATTTGAACTGGGAAATATTATTTACACTGATGTATATCATACAAATAAGAGAATAAAATGGGGGTATTTACCATGGTATTTTCATTTTCTGTTTCGTCCACACTATGTTCTTCTTTGTTCAAAGTAAAGCGGACAGGCTCATAATTGAATGGGTTGTTTGCCGAAATAGTTGACGCAGTACTTTTACTGATTTCGTTATCACTACCGATGTCAAACTGTCCTCCTTTCAATTCAGGTAACTTACGTAATTCCTGCCAAATATTTTGCATTTTTTCTGGACAGTTGATTAGTTCATGCTGATTCAATTTATAAAATGTTACACCAATACATCGCATCTCTTCGGAAATCATATTGACTCTGCGAGAACACTTGTCAGCACCGTAGGAGTGTGGATGATGATATGATGTGACTGAGTTGTTACGTCTTGGTATTCTGCTACTCTCTGCACTGACACATCCTTCTACAGGATTACTCATCGTCGTTGATTGTAACACAGTTAAAACTAGTTCAGTTTTTCTCAACTCATTCAAGGTGATCGGAAACACAAATGACTGGTCGAAATTGGGATTGAATGAAGTTAACACTGGTTGCGTGAAATACTTTTTATGGAAACCATCACTTTCCTCTGGCAGATCTATCTTTTTCCTTTCTTCCATCTCTGATTCCTTATAAATCGATGATCTTTCACTACGTCGTAAGCGTAGACTGACAACGAAGTTTGTTGGCGTTTGACTTGGCAAAATATGTGAACCTTTGATGAGATTATTGACACCAATCAGCCGGTTGATCGTGACATTCAGAGTGCTTAGAGTGCATGTGTAAACTAGTGAAAAACAAATATGCCCATTTGTTTCTGGATTCATTACGAAATTTGTCCATGTAGTATCTATATTACTTGGGTGTTTCAGTGGTATCGTAGACAAAATTCGCATAACGGGATCAAACAACTTTTCAGTACTGCTCAAACGACGTCTAGCTTCAGACCACATCGACTCACTGGAAGAGGTTATAGATTTATCGGCTTGAAATACAGCAGTATTGAACTTGTTACGGCTTAACCACGGATAAATATGTCTGTCAAGATTTGGTTCACTTAACTTTGGTAAATGAGCACCTCTTCTTGTTTCATTGTCTGGTGAACAAAATTTCTTGTTATCACCAATATCAGCATCTGCGTGACTTGCAGAACTATCAGGATTGATAAGCTTTGTTGTACAACTTTCAGAAAAAGCTCTAATAAGTCTTTGCTTTGGTGCAAACATTTTGTTGTCTGGTTGTACTGCTTGTGGTTTAGTTATGTTCAATGGTGGTGTTTGAAGACCAAATACAAGTCTCATACCTTGATTGCTTTGGTTGAAGGGAGTGTGCTCATTTTCATATGAATGGTGCAACGATACGTGTTGTAGACTATAACGTGGCTGCCTCTGTTGAGGTTTGAAGATTTCTTTTATTGCTTTCAAACTTAAGTTTCCAACTGAATCCCTTTTCGAGTGATTTCCACAAGCGCCACGTTCAACGTCCGTAGTAGCGGCGGTAGCACCAACAGCATCACCGTATTCACTGGAAAATGAGCTCATATTCTGATGGGTCTGCTTATCAGAACTGTAAAAACGAGCAACTTCACTTCGAACACTTTTGCTATTCAACTGTTTACTCATAGATCTAAGACGCTTTCTTCGTTTCATTGCAGTCTCTTCTGTACCAGTGTAAAATACTAAATAGCAAAGAGCCAACAGAACGAGTAGGAAGCATAGAAATATTAGTGTTAGTATATCAGTTTGAAACATTTATTCCGATTGCTTTAGCCTTTTAATTTATGTTTTTTTGGTTTCTTGAACTTTCAATGAAATTTGTTGGCGTTCATCAATATTAGATGATGACTGTTGTACACGTCGACGCTAATACGAGACATAATATAGTTAACTATAAAAGAAAACAGAAAAACCACAAAAATTTTATGTATCAGTGCATGCCAATATATATAATATTTAAATAATTTTACTTATTGAATCCTAATTTTAAAAATGGCATTTGAAAAGTGTTTCAATGGAATACAATCTTTGAAACCAGCATTATACACACCTTTTTTATAATCATATTAGAAAACGCCTTTATAAGATGCATTTATGAAGATAATTTGCAAATAAGAACAAGATTATGGAGTTTTGTTTGACTTGTCTTATTTCAGCATAATTAGCACTATTTGGCCAACAGGATGCGAAAAGTCAGTTCTTCTACACGGATCAGAAACTTGGCAGGTCACAAAGAATATTTCCAACAGGTTGCAGACCTTTATCAACAACTGTCTTCGTTCTATACTGAAGATTAGATGGCCGGAAAGAATTACCAACAAGAAACTATGGGAACAAACAAAACAGGAACCAATCGCCCAGCAAATATGTAGGAGAAAGTGGAGATGCATTGGACACTCTCTGAGGAGGCCGCTGAGTGACATCGCGCGTCAGGCCATAACTCGAGTGGAACCCGAAAGGGAAGCGGCGAGTGGGACGTCCAAGGGTAACATGGGGGAGATCGTGTGAAGAGGAGTTGAAACAGTATGGAATAACATGGATGCAGGTGAAAAGTACAGCAGAAGGCAGAAGCAAGTAGAGACGTGTAGTTGAAGCCCTATGTTCCACTAGGAACCCAAGGGAATAATAATAATAATGCGAAAAGTGGCCGTGTTGTTATCTGTTTATGCAATGTGTAAAAAGAAATTCTTGCACTAACTGAAATACTGTCTAAAATCAAACTGCACTGGATAGTTATTATATAAATGTTAAGCTTTCTATAAGAAATTTATGCAAATTCTGATCAAAATTGTATTGGACAGTTCCACAATATTTGGACTCTGGGTGAAAAGTAGGTGTGTGCATGTACTTTTAAAAAATCTCACCTAAAACAACCGAAGCTCTGTTTGCAAAAGAAGCAGGTCCAGCCAGTATTGTTACCTTGCCCTGCTGTTGAGTCTGTGAATTCATGAAGTCTGCTTCACTTCCCTTAATTTTTCTGATACTTATTTTAGTGTTATATTATTACATATTATCCCTCTCTTACTGATGCATTTGAAGTGTAATCTACTATCATGGCAACAACCGTGTTGACTTCTACTGAGTTGATGTTTATATGCTTGTTTTTTCTAACTCTTGATAACATTCATAACTTTTTGAACTCTTACATAATTCCCCAGTTCCCTTTGTTTCTATGTGCATCCTAATCACAACTCACTCATCAAACTATTCACCTTATTACGTAACCGTATTGCGCATATATAACTTCTTTTACGTAATGATCAACGCTAGCAAATATGTTTTTTTTTTTGACAACACATCACCACCACCCTATTACCAATCCTCACGCCTTAGTTACGATTTGATTACTCATCACATTTTTGAAATATCTTGACAACAATAACCCTAACTTATTTTTATTCTTATCAGATAAACCTGATGAACACACACATACAAAAATATGTAATGTATAATTGCGATTGTACAGCTGATTGAATAAATTAACCGAAAAGGGACTGTTTGCTGAATTACGTGTTTTTTTTCCACTAATTTCTGGACAGGGATTATTCATAAACGATATGTAGTCTGTCAGTGCTATAGTAAGTAAATTGAATAAGTCCAACTTTTAATTCGACGAACTGGTTCGAACTTCAGGAAAATAATCAAAATTAAAACAAAGAAGATGTATTCTTTAAAATTCTTGACCAGTCACGTCTGTGTCATGAGTCGCCGTCAAAACAAAAGAAATAAAGTTACACGAACTGTGATCGAATAGTTCCCATAAGCGTATTATGAGTCTGTTTTGTTCTACACTGTATACACTGTATAGAAGGCTGAATGCATGAACCTTATGTAAAGCAATTGGCATGTGAATTCTTAAATAATAGTTTTGGTACCGATGTTTGAAAGTATTCAAATTTGAACAACTTTTACACAAGTTGAAGACAACGAAAAGAAGGAAGTTAAAGGCCAATGTTGTGAAAGTGATCTGACAAACTGTACATACGGTTCAAGTTTCGTGTGTAAAGCAGCAGTTTGCTGTTGAACACCCAGAAATCGCTTTCCAAACGTATCACCGAACACTTACCAAAATGGTTTTACAAAGGAGAAAATCGATGCCCCCGCAGTTCCATCTTAGAACATCTGATAGAATCCGGACACCAAGCTACACCGCAAACAAACTTCAAAGTCGTCTAGAGAGTAAGAAGTAGTCTTCCTAAAGATGTACGAATCAGACTTCTTCAAACTGCAGAAGCAATGGCGACTCACTTGCTAAGTCCTGAACTCTGCATACAGAAGAAGTTCGTTCAATCACTACACTTGCAATGGACGTAATCTATCTTATTAGCCGACAGGTAAATTCCACCTAATCTTTTCTTGTCTCTTCATTAGTATTATTTTGTCTTCTCAAGTGTAATATTTTACATTTTCAACTTTCTTGTTTTCTACCCCCACCCGATTCAATTTCTACACCTCACTACCACTGTTACTGACTTAAACAACGCTCAATTTCTAGTCAATTATATTACGTCATCTAACTAACTAACTAACTCAATCTTACTTTAGTTGCTGTCTGATTAACTTTGTTTCTATATTAGATCATTCTTGTATTACCTGATCAATTATCTAAACTTGACAAACCTCATGTACACACACACACAAACAATTATTTATAAATGCGATTGTACAGCTATGTGAATGAATTGGCCGAAAAGATTCTCTTCGCTGAACGTCTCTTTTTCATTTGACTCAATGAGAATTTTTAAGCCACTTTATTATTGTTATCCAATAACATATATATATACTCAAAAGTTGCTGATAAGTAGGCACCTCAGAATTTCCGCTAACTGTGAACTAGAGCATGACAGCATGGTAAACTATTTCTAATCTCAGTGAGACGTGTAACTTTACTAAGAAAACCACATTTTTTTATCTACATACTGTACGAATGGCCACTTTTCGTATAAAACGTGTAAATAATGGGAAATAGAATTCTAAAAATACTACCAGATGGCTGTTAAAGTACAGTAACGGTTGATAATGAAGTATACACTACGCAGGTATCAGGAAGTTATAAAAAGTTGATTCTGAGAAAAACTACTGACGTGTATAATAGACCGAATGAAAGCACAAAACGGCGAAGTTGTCAAAAGGAAGTTGTTTAGATTCATTACAGAATAACAAGAATTATGTCCAATAGATGACTAACAGAAAATTTTCAAATTATTCACTTATTCAAATAACAATTGTTTATAGTTGGTGGGAAAACTCAAATGGGTTGTTTTCGGTTACCATGGCTGGTTACTGTGATCATTAGGTGGACAAAATAATAATGATTATTATTGTTATTAACATTACTATCCTTGATTGACTGAACAATTACGTGAAAGACTCAAGGATTCCAAAACAGGTTCAGCTATTCAATACAGAGGGGCTAGACTTAGATTGACATAAAATCTAGTGACTCTGAAAAATAAAACTTTATTTTTAACCTACTTCTTATCGTCATACATAACGTGTCCTATACGCCTTATTAATAAGGTTTGTTAAAATACAGGCGTACGGAAACAGAGGGAACATTTAAAAACTGTTCTCATGGTGCAATTGTTTTATATAGAGTAAATAGTGTGCGCCACTATTGAATCCTTGAATTTAGACGCTAGTATAATCCTGTTTAGTTAAACGATAAATATTTCGCCCAAAATAAAGTTTCACTTCCGAATTCGGAAATTTATCACTGTGTTAGGATTTGCCTGAATCTGAAAGATGCAAGCTAAGGAACACAGAGTTGCAAGCCATAAAATTAAATAGACATTTGAACACTCGAAAATAGGATGTGACAACTTTTTAATTGCCCACAGTTCTGAATTTGTGTTTAAGCAGTTTAAAACTGAATGCGAGTATCTGCATTTAGCAGAATAATATTCATTCGAATGTTGTACTGACACAGATTTAAGATATTTTATCTACAAAGCACTCACTAACTTAAACGAAAAATCTTGTTCAGTGAGGCTGAAAGTGGGATGATGGACACAAATGTGCGCAAACTATGAACAAAAGCACCCAGACAGTAATATTTATTCAACTTTATAAGGAACACAGTAAATATGCTTGTTTGGAACCCCTGTAAATCAGCCTTATTAATACAAACGCTTTTCTTCTTAATAAAACTAACAAGGTGTAGCATTTAACGTGTTTAGTAGGAACAAGTCATAAAGTCGTTCACAGAAATCAAAATACTTTCCATTAGATTAACTTACTTTTAAAATTTATTATAAATAAATAATCTCCGGTTTTTGTCCTACCATTTATTATTTATAATATGAGGTATGAAGTGAAGCAGCCCTGTACATCAAGATGAATTTGACGAAGAGAATTTGTGTGTGTATATAACATAAACTAAAACGACTACTACAAGGGAATATTTTTTTTTCTACTGTTCAGTCATGAAATAATGCAATAAAATCCTTTTGATTTAAGCTGAAGAAAGGAATACAGTTTCTTCTTATCCCTAAGTATCTTCTTCATTGAGATTTTATGACAAAACAGAAGTGATACGAATGAAGTTACTTTACCTCATATTCCTGGTTATATTGGTTGTCATTGGTTGTTTATTTTGTCAAATTTTGATTGCTTACCTAATCTCTTTCTTTATTGGTTGAATTGTATTTTACTGTTCGACTGTTGTTCTCCATTTGAGTGACAAATGATGAGTAGATTCAGGTCTTACTTATACATCAACTTATGCTTTTCGGTCTTTTTCGATAAGTAATCTACTAGGAATAGCAATAGACATTTTAGTTATTAGGACTGGTTAAATTATTTTCTTGATACAAGTTTGCAAAAAACATTAGGATATTATACTTCAAGCAGTAGTATGTTTAAAGGGTTTTAGTGTATAAATTTTGCTCT